ACACCCAGGGGCCCAGGTCATATGTGGTACTAATATTTCTGAAATCCTTAAAAAAGTAGTTAGAAATAGTTTCAGGGAACTCTGAAAAGTATAAGTTTTGATCATATGCAAATATTTCACAAGTCATTTCTTTTTGAGTTATATGTCTGTTTTCCGATATTTAGAGCCATACCTGCATTTTTCTTTGCGTGTTTTTTTCTGATCTGCTAAAATATAAGCATTTTTTCCCCCCATTCTCAATTCACCTGCTCTTTAAAAAAAAAAATTCTATTTTGGTTTTTATTTCATTAGTTTTTTTCTTTTTTTCTTTTGGGTTTAATTGGGTTTTTTTTTTTTACTTTAAAATCAGGCCCTTAAAGTATATCCTGTGGTAATTACCCCAAGTCTCTCTTTCTTTACTGACTTTGTTTGTTTGATAGTTCAGGAAGTACTGGAGAACATCTGTCATACTCTGAAAGATAAAAATTGGACAGAAGCAAGTGTGAGTAAAATGTATGTCATAACAAGCTTTGTTTTAACCTTTTAACTTGAAGAATCAGCACATACATTTTTGAACATTCAGGACTTGTTTTTCTTGACAAACCTTTCTTGAGCTCTCACTCCGTTCTGCCCTGATTTTCTCCACAACAGCTCTAAAGAAAGTAGTAGAGGACTTGGGGAATAAAGAAACTCCAAGGAGATTCAAAAGAGGAATAAAGACTGGAAAACACCCTGAGGAACCATAAGAAGCCAATATTCTTAAGTCAGAATAAAACAAAAACTGTTTATAATGATGTAAAAGTTTTTTGTTTTTTTTAATGAAGCAGAAATACCTTGAAACAAGAACAGAGGCACAGAAAATCTGAAAAGCTTTGTGGCATGGGTAATGAAGGGGTTTGAAGGGTCATTGATCGAGTCCAGGTCCACACTGAATACACAGCTTGTCATCACATCCATGCTGTAGGGTCCGAATATGCTAGAATACACACAAGATATAGCCAGCGGCTGGGGTTAGAAAGCTGTAGAATAGATAACTGTTTAGTACCAGAGTGCGTGCAGCTTGGTATCTCAAATGCAAAGCAATAAAAAAATTAAATGTTATGGATGTGTAACTGTAATGATGGCAAAAAGTCATTGATAAATGCATTAGCAGTGTAAAAATAGACTAAAAGTATTTTCAGGCATAAAAAGCTGAGGAAAGCAGACCATAATATTGGCCTATAGGCTTATAGCATACAGGTGAAAAATGTGTAGGTTTTCATAAAAGTAACAGATATAGTGCAATTGTGGTTACGTTTCCGTACATTTACAAACCACAGATCCAGTTGGCTCTGCTGTAAACTTCAGCTTTTCAAAAATAGACCAAGTATTGGACAACATCAAGAGACACGGTCCCAATGTGAATGTGTGTCTCATCGCTCATTTTAACGATTCAAATCATATCAATAGTTTCAATATTTTTTATTGTTTTAATTTTAAGAGTATTAAAGATTGTTAAATTCCACTTATTTCACCCAGTGTACATTTAGAGCAAAAAAAAACTATGTATGTGAAGCATCCACTCCTAATTCCCATGTGTATTTTTAGACTAAATTGGCAGCCTTAATAGTTCAATTCCATCTGATTTTAGATTACCACTGACATTAACTTGAGTAGAAACAAATATACTTATTCAAATAGATTTCAAAATAGGATTCCTGTTAACATTTAACTTTCATGGTTTTTCATGAAAGTACAAAGAAGCCAAACAGAAAAAGCTAACTGTTTTTTGTTAAGGCATAATCTGTTTGATGATAAAAGCTTTTCAAAGTGCACATGGGTTTTTTTTTCTAATATGATGTTTTTCATCTTGTGTCATTTCTGTGATTTCCCCAGGGTTACTCACTCCTTAATGGTAATAACTTCATTGTTGTCCACCTTAGATTGCAAGCTCAGGATCAGTTTGTTGGAATGATGTTGCATTATGTTGAACATCTTAAGGCAGAAGAAGAGAAAGGAAATTACTCCAGCAGTTAAAGATATTCCTTTATCAACAGTTTGCGGTCTTGGTTCATAATCATCATCTTCATATAATATGATGCACTGAAAATATATAAAAAAAATGATCAGAAAAAAGGTTTTCTGGGTAAAATTTTTAAAATTGTTGTCTAATTCAATCATGGAGGGATTGAGTTGGGATCGTGTATATATACACCTGCAGCCCCAATTATATCTGTTTTAATGTCAGTCAAGAAGATACAGAAAAGGCTAATATGTACAACACATTTTTACTGTTTTCAGTTAAAGTTGTGGAAAACATTTTTCAGTTTTTTGTCTTGTAATTTGTTTATACACGACAAACATCTATGCATTTTGTCCAGGAGTTTGTAGATTCAATATTGGTATGATTTTTAACAGGGTTTAGGTTCAGGGTATTTGAGAAGCTTATGGTTACCATGTTTTTATCTGTCCCCAAACCTATGATTTATTTATTTATTTTTTTGTACACCTAATTGTGTTTATATTCTATTTTTACATGCTAGGTATTTATTTTAGAAGTTTAAAGGTGTAGTGGAGGAAGTTCTTTTTCCTGGGTTTAATCAAAATAAGTGGTCCTTCGAGTTGTCAATGATTCTGGTGATATGTTTACGTAAGGCTGTCCTACATGCTCGTCCCCATTTTCACCTACTGGTGGCAGCTTTTAAACAGAGCGTGCACGAGGAGAAATGGGCTCGTACATGGTTTTGCACACTTTTAATAGGTGTTCCCTCTCGGGAGTGGGTACAGGGTTGTGCATATGCATTTTTTTTTTTTTAGTGGAGAGGGTGGGTCTTTTCAAAAAGTCACAAAGATCCTCCACATTACATTTACCGTAAGTATTTCTCTCAGTATAACAGGACCACTGGGTTAGAAACTGACCCCTAGCAAGACGATACCGCCACTATGCAGAATACTTGGTACAGTGTTGCTAATTAGAATTAGTATTTATATTGTTAAAACACTTTACAGTATTCTATTCTATTCTATTCTATTATCCATTGGGGTCATAGCGGGGTTACAACCTGGACAGGTAGCCGGTCTATCAGAGGGCACCATGCACACACTTATTCACACCTCAACCCCCCTACTGTAGCAGTCATGTTTTTGTGAGGAAGACAAAGTACCTACGCATGCATGAGTAGAAGATGTAAATTCCCTCCAGAAAGAACCTAGGATAGGAATCAATCCTAGGAGCTTCATTGCTGCAAGGAAACATACTGTTCTGCCGTGAAGCTGTCTCTTTCCCATATAAGATAAATATTTGATAGATATGTGTAATGATAGTTTAGTAATTGAGTAAAATAAATAAAATATAAGTAAAAACATTTTTTTCATTCTAAAAAGAATCTCTCAGCATGCACACACATTTATATATATATATCAATAGCCACCTGGGACTCTGCAGTTGTTGCTCCCTGGCAAAATAATCTGCACTTCTTTCGCTCCATGCTGCCATGAGGCTATTTGATACAGTATACCTGACTTAACAGTGGATAGGCAGATTAGACTGAGTGTATATTCTGGAAATATGCTGGTTCACAAGTTCAAAAGGATTGTATACTTGCGAACTAAACCCTGTTTTTAGAAAGTATATATTTTCTTGTTCAAGAGCAAAAAGAAATATGAAGTTATTGTCCTTAATAAGTGCAAGTAAACTTCAAACCTAAACTCTACATACACGCCCACCTCTTTTATACGTCCAGAGGCGAAGGAAGGAGTGACATGGTTCCGAATTCTCCTCCACTCATCATCTTCTGCAACATTCACTGCATCATAAAGATCCCCATTCAGACGGAAGTTCTTATGAAAAAGGAAATGTTTATTTGTGGATGTTTTTAGGCACATTGGAAAACTATTATAAGAAAAAAAAA